CACATCATAGTACTAAAGGGATCGATACAACAGGAGTATATAATCCTGATAAACATATATGCACCCAATGTAGGAGCACCCAAATACATAAAAAAAACTCAAGGGAGAGATTGACAACAATACAATCATATTAGGGGACTTTAATACACAACTGACATCACTGGATAAATCCTCTAGACAAAAAATCAGAAAAGAAATGACAATCCTAAATGACTCACTAGATAAGATGGACCTAATTGACATCTTCAGAACATTTCAGCCCAAAGCCAAGGAATATACGCTCTTCTCAAGTGCACATGGGACATTTTCAAGAATAGACCACATATTGGGTCACAAGCAAAGTGTCCCCAAATTAGAGAAGATTGAAATCATACCAAGCTTCTTTTCAGACCACAATGGCATAATATTAGAAATAAACTACAATAAAAACCCAAGATACTAAAAAAAAAAAAATTAGTATATACATATAAAAGCCTAAGTGACCAAACAACCGGTCGCAATAATGCGCACTGACCACCAGGGGGCAGATGCTCAAGGCATGTGGTCAGTGCGCTCCCACAGCAGAGTGCCACTCAGCTGACTGATGGACGCCAGACACAGGGCTCATGCTGGCAAGTGACAGGCGCAGTGTGAGCCAGGATGAGCGGGAGCAGCACGGCGCCCAGCCTGGGTTTGGGCTCCTCCCCAGCCACCTGCTGCTTCATGCACTACTACATCCCAGGCCTGTGGGGATCAGGCCAAAACTGGCAGTCCAATATCCCCTGAGGGGTCCTGGATCGTAAGAGGCCACAGGCCAGACTGAGGGACCCCAACAGTGCACGAATCCATGCACCGGGCATCTAGTTCTTTAAATAAATGCCTTTCCACAAACCTAGCAACATTATAAGGGAGCCCCCCAGAACAAGCAGCAGCTTATTGATGTATTCATTCCCTATTCCTACCACCCCACTCCCTCCAGATGCCCAAAGCAGATGGCAGGGCAACTGCACAGATACATCCCACAGTGAGTCATTGGCTGAAACTCAGGCAGCCATGAGGCAATGTAATCACAGTTGATCCCTGTAATACACTGGGAAAATGAAAATTTGTTATTGGCCAATTAACATTTTAGCCCTTGCAAATAAAATGCAAAAAGCAGACTGGCTAGAAATTTAGGAGGGATGTCATTACTGGAGGAAATAACAGTCTAAGAATTTACCTTTGCCACAAATTCAAGAGTATCAATTTTTATCATAATGAAAATGTTAAACATTAATTTTTTAAATCTTGAGAATAAAAATAGTTCATACATTTTAAAAGCCTTGAAAATATTCCCTTTGATCTACTAAATAATACCACTGGGATATAATTTAAAGAAATAATCCTAAATATATAAAAAGCTTTGTGATCAGAAATTGTCAAAATAATAGTGAAAAATGGAAAGCACACTGAATAATTAAGAATAAAAAATGGTTAAGAGCAAAGTTAACAGAAGAGACGCTGGAGACACATACTCGGTTGGATTGGACCCTGACTTCACCACCTCCAGACTTGGTTTCCTCTCTAAAAATGAGATAAGCCACATGATAAGAACTGGGTGTAGTAATATAGGGAAATAAATGGCTGTTTTATGGTTTAAACCTTTTTGATCTCAAGACCTCTTAAAAATTGAGGACCCAATGTCTGTCTGTCTCTCACACATACACACACAGACACCATCTTAGAAATTAACACTAAGAAGTTTTTACATGGGTAAACACAAGCGCACATTCTGTTAGCTTCAGAGCAATGAAGTCATCGCATGCCATTAACTCTGGAAAACCTATACACATGTGAGAGAATAAAAGTGAAATAGGCAAATAATATCTGTTTTAATAAAAGTAGTTTTGACCTCACAAGTTCCCTGACCAAATTGTGAGACCCACTGGATGACACAATCCTGGAATATCGTAAGCAAGCAATAAATGGTAACATGCTAAATAACTATGGTATATGTAATTTGACACCGTAAATCTAAGAAAGAAAAAAAGAATATATTTTTTAATGTATTTTTATTGATTTCAGAGAGGAAGGGAGAGATAGAAACATCAATGATGAGAGAGAATCACTGACTGGGTGCCTCCTGCATGACCCCTATTGGAGATCAAGCCGGCAACTCAGGCATGTGTCCTTGACCAGAATTTAACCCAGGACCCTTCAGTCCACAGGTGGATGCTCCACTGAGTCAAATCAGCTAGGCCAATTATATCTTGTTTTTATTTTACTTTTTACATTTAGGCTCTGAAAAAAAGATTAGAAAACCTCTGTAAAGTGATTTTCCCTTCTTTTATCTTTCTGTATTCAAATTTTTCTATAATAGATATTACTTTTAAAAATAAGAAAAAGTTTAAATTCTGGTTTATCAGAACACACATCCAATGGTTTGTCTCCTCGACTCAAACACTGTTGAATGCGCCTAAAGAAATATCACACATAACATATTTTGGTTCCTCTACACATCTTTAGTCCCCAGGCTCTATATACCTTGACCATTCTACTTCCCTAATAAGCTTTCTCTCCTCCTACTCCTACATCAACCCTCTCCACCCTCTTCCTCTAAACACCCTACATTTCCTCCTGTGCACTCAGGGACCCTGCTCTCTCCAACAACCACTCAGTCCCTCTCCTGCTTCTGAACCCCTTCCTCCTCTAACAGCTAGACCCTCCTTCTTCCTTCCCAGCCAAGCTTCCTCCAGGGCCTGTTTTATGCTAATTGTTTCCAACACTTTGCCTCTTATTCAGTCCTCACCCCGAAGCTGGTTGGCTTCCACAGAAAAAATCTAGCTGGTCACCAATGGCCTTTGATCCAACTGGCACTTTCCAATATTCATCGTAGGCAGTGCCTTCTCTGATACAGTCTTTCCTAAGCTCATCTTGCTCTGCCCACCCTCCACGAACACCTAAGGGCCATTCCTCACCCTCAGGTGTGATCTGATCCACTGCCGAGGCTCTGCCAGCTCCGTTAGGCCAAACCAAAGCTTCAGTCTCATAAAATGGAGCACCAAGGCACATAGAAGTATTACTCACTTAAAACAGATGATGGAGCCGAAACTGGTTTGGCTCAGTGGATAGAGCGTCGGCCTGCGGACTGAAAGGTCCCAGGTTCGATTCTGGTCGAGGGCATGTGCCTGGGTTGCGCGCACGTCTCCGGCGGGAGATGTGCGGGAGGCAGCTGGTCGATGTTTCTCTCTCATCGATGTTTCTAGCTCTCTATCTCTCTCCCTTTCTCTCTGTAGGAAATCAATAAAATATATTTAAAAAAAAAAAAAAAAAAAAAAAAAACAGATGATGGATACAAACGTGTTTAAAGATCCATGAAGATGGGCAGACCATTCTTGCTGTATCTTTAAAATACAGCATTCTACTCACCTCTGTCTTTCAGCTCATTGAAGTCCCGAATATTCTGCAAAGTAGCCGAGTCCCAGCCCTTCGGCGACTGTCTTCTGACAGGAGCCTGCACCCGATGCCGCGCCATGTCAAATATGTCCATGGGGCTCCTTTCTCTTTTCCTGTGAGTGACAAACTATGATAAACGTGTGTTTTATGGGAAGAAAATCTGAGTTCGCATTTCATTCAAGAAATGAGGCATCTTTCACCAGAGTTGATTATAAACATTCTAGTATCTGTTACTTCAGTCCCTCATTAAAAAATAGGTATTTATAAAGTCATTGTTTATAATTTTTCAAAATACTCAGATGCAAAGTACTTTATTCTAAAAATAAGATGATTTAGTTTTACCTTAAAATGTTCCCGTAGCATAAAAATGAGTCTTTGAGACCAGAGAAACCAAGACTCAAAGACCTGCTCTGCTATTTGTTAGCAGTTTGACCTTGACTTCAGCATCTATAAGATGCAGATAGTATCTACCCCTTTTAGTCTTAAGCGTATGAGAATTAAGTGAAATTATATCCTGTAAAGTACCCAGCATAGTACTTGACATGAATTAGGTACGCAATAAATGTAAACTTTCCCCAGCCTAAAATAGAAATTGTACAGAAAAAGATGGTATTAATATGCTGCCCATTATAACAGTTTATTATCCACAGTCCCCAACACTAATTTTACAATAGGCTTTCAGGAAACTTGGTACCTAGTTAGTTACTTAATACTCTATTTCTAGGAAATGGTATAACAGGAGGGAGCTCAGGAAGGGAGTTTCCCACTATGGCTGGGGGGCGGGGGCTGACATTAGAGAGGACAGGGATGAGGGTGGCACTCCAGCCCTGCTGCTGCCCTCAGTGCCAGGCAGGCCTCTCTAGTTCTGAAAATGCAGCTCTAAGCTACTGGTGTAAGAGCTGGCCAGACTCCTGTCTTCATTTCTTGATGCACTAAGTTTCCCCTGGGCCCAGGCAGGGAAATAGTGGGACCCCACAGGCGCAGTGCCCCTGCTCTTTCAGGGGACGGACTCACAGGGCCACAAACTACTTGGTCAAGGTGACACAGATTCCTAGTAGTGAACTACCCAGAGTGTCAAGAACTGCAGTGGAGGCTCATTAAAATGTAAAACAAAAATAAGTACTAAATCTAGAAGGCCATTACATTAAAATACCTAAGTCCTGTCCTGGCCGATTTGGCTCAGTGGTTACGGCACTGGCCCACAGACCAAACGGTCTCGGGTTCAATTCCCAGGCAAGGGCCTGTAACTCGGTTGCAGATCCCATCCCCGGCCCTGGGGGCGTGTGAGGGAAGCAACAAATCAATGTGTGTCTCTCACATCAATGTTTCTTTCTCCCTTGCCTCCCTCCTTTCCACCCTAAAAATCAATGGAAAAAATATCCTCAGTGAGGATTTAAAAAAGGTGTACAGAAGTTCTATCTAATTATATTAACATTAATAGTTAAATAGGCTGTTAACCCTATTAAACAGTTCATGGTTAGGGATAGTATTTCTGGTTTTCCTTCAAGAAATGCTACTTTCTTCTTTTTCTTTCCTTTCTTCCTCCTTCCCTCAACTCCTATGTCAATACCACCACCAAAAATGTTATTGGCAGTACAACAGGACAGTTACAAAGCTCAATTTAAATATTTTATAGACAGTTAAGTATCTATTAAATAGCCCGTATTTTCTCAACGAATAAAGTCAATAATTGTGGATAAAAATTTATTAATGCAACTTTACAAAAGATTGAAAAAAGTATATCAAAAGCATATTAATTTTAAAAAGGCCTATTTTGTCAAAAGAGAGAAAACCTACTATACACTGCAAACACCAATAGACTAAAAAATCATACCCTGTTTTTGCTAGTTGCACTGACTCCCTCCACTAGAATATCATTATTTATCTAGATTTCTTCTGGGAAAAAAGGCTAGTTTAGTCTTTAAATTTCACTAATAATCTTAAAAACTTTCAAACATACAAACTATCCATTCTAATAAAGAGTGTTTTACAGTAAAAATTAACCCTGTTCCAAAACAAAAATTACTGGATAGGTTCTGACATATGATTCTTCATCCTGAACACAAAAAAATTTAGAAACAAATAAAAATGCAACTTGAAACTTGCCTCATGTGAATTTCCTCATCACTTTCCAAGTGTAGCAACTGCCCCTGGAGACGCCGCTCTTCACTACGAAGCTGTTTTCTCATTTCTGATAATTCCATAATTACATTTCTTTTCTCCTCTGCAAAGTCCCATCAATAAGTAAAAAGAACTAAAGATTAAGCTTTAAAATATAGCTTTATCATAAAGCTAAAATGTTGAGAGACATTGTCATGAAAGTTATTTTTAATGTTTTAAATAACAGATCACATTCATGAATATCATATTAAGACTCACAAACACATTTCTGATAATACAGAAATTTCAAAAGTTAAGTTTTGGGGGTGGAGGAGAATGTCACCATAAAGGGGCAATACAAGGAATTCCTTTGTGGTGATAGAACAGTTCTGCACCTTGACAGGTGGTTACACAAATTATACAAGGTAAAGTGCAGGGCACTACACACAACACAATGAGCACATGTGAAACTGGTGAAGCCTGGTGAAGGTCCGTAGAATACACCAGTGTCCACTTCCTGGTGGTGATACTGTACTAGGTAAGATGTTACCACGGGGAAGCTGGGAGGGTACCCAGGCCCTCTCTACTCTGTAGCAGTGACCTAATGCCGTGACCCTTTAACACAGTTCCTCATGTTGTGGTGACCCGCAATTTCATTGTTACAAATTGAACATAATTAAAGCATAGTGATTAATCACAAAAACAATATGTAATTATATATGTGTTTTCCGATGGTCTTAGGTGACCCCTGTGAAAGGGTCGTTCGACCCCCAAAGGAGTCATGACCCTCAGGTTGAGAACCGCTGCTCTATAGTGTTTTGCAATGTTCTATGAGTCTGTAAAAAAATGTCCTAGATTACAGGTTTAGTAGGTAACTCTACCTTCCGCACGAAGTTGATTTTTCCTGGCAGGTACCGGAGGAGACTGTGCCCTGGACACGGAACGTTCCTGTTCAACAATCATGACAGACAGACTCAGTGTGTCTTCCCTACTCAGAGCTTGAAGAGAATACTTTCTTAAAGTAACTATATGTAGAAGAAGCCAAACTCCCCACTGTCCTACCTATAAACTTACCTGCATCGACTTTCCTTTCCCACCACAATGGAGTCCTTGCCCGATCCACAGAGAACTCCTTCCCAAGTACTCTGGAGCTGATAAGTGACTCCACTCCCACTTCCTCCACCAATTAGTCCCTTTTCTCCACCCTTTTCCCCCCCTTAATCTCAACTATGCGTCAAAATCTCTCTGTTCTTTAAAAAAAATTATCTCACCTTCACTCTTATCTATTTCCTCCTTCCCTTCAGAGCCTTGCTTCTTTGAAGAATAGTAAATGCAGTACGTATGGTGTCTATGTCCTTGTTCCCACTCACTCTCCACTGCATAGCAAATGCCCGCCTTTGCTCTGCAGCCCATCACTCCACTGACCTGACTCACCAAAGTCACCACGTGATCCCAGTGACACACTCAATAGCCAGCAGCAACTGACATCATTGCCACTCTGTCACTTTTTCCGTCTCCATGTCCTTACTCTGCTTCTGAAATGTGGGTAATTCCCTAGTAATCCACCTTCAGCTGTTTACTGCCCCCAAGCCCATCCTAGACTATTGTACTCACTTGACAAACAACAGTGCCCACGACTTCCACAATGACAGATCCAGTCCAGACCACCTTCTCAGCCACAACCTCTTATTTCCAACTGCCTGCTCCATGAAACCCTCGCCAGAAACCTGATGGCTGTCACTGACTCCTCCCTACCAGTCAGTACGTACCACCATCTGTGTTTCTTAACGTATCTTGATGCTGTCACCCTCCTCTGTTCTACTGTCACTGCCTTTCTCTAGATAAAGTCTCACATCTGGACTTCTGCAAAAGTATCCTGGCCTCCAAAATGTATCTCCACACCACAGCCTAAGAACACATCATCTACCACAGACCTACTGAATCCGAATCTCAGAGGGTGAGAGCCAGGAAGATGTTCTTGTAATGTTTATCTGTTATGGTAATTAACCTGTTTGGTAGCCACGCATCTATGGAATAAAGTCAGACCCCTTACCCTCCACACAAGACCCTGCATGTGTTCCGACCTCCACCTCCTCTGCACTTGCTCAGGCTTTGCCAGGCCCAGACCACGCCCGTGTGTTCTCCATGTGTGCGGCGTGGCATACACGTCCCTCCAAGGCCTAGGACGTGCTGCCAAGTCCCTCATCTTCCTTGTTTTTATGGAAAATCCTTTCAAGAGTCAACTTAAGAAACAACCTTTTTGGAACATTTTCCCAACTTTCTTTTGATTGTAGCTCAGTCTAAAGTTTAAGGCACATCATTAGCATAACTACAGCTAGCTAGAAGATACATTATCAAAGAAAAGGCCTTCTGGAGGGTCAGAACAAGAATGATGTGCTAAATTATTAAATTTAAACTTTAGGGCACCAAGTTACAACCAAAGCAGCAAACAAACTACTGTAGACACTATTCTATTTCAGATCTTAAAAAATTTAAATCTCATCCAATCCCTCAACCCAAAATAACTTAGCTAAGATTAGCCAATCAGAAGAAAAAGTACATACTTGAATAAAGGCACTTATAATGCTGTCAACTGAAGGAGGTCTTTGGAGTTTGCCTGCAATTTTGTTCTGTAAAGCAGGAACCACAGGGGAAGGCTGTTTCAAGCGCTGGAAAAAGAATGGGGCAATAAGAACACATATATAATACCTTAATCAAAGAAATTTTTAAAAAATAAATGTGTGTATACATACCCACATCAATAAATGTAAGTGTACAAACACACATGGATACGCGTGTGTGCACATACATACACCCTTAATACTTGAGCATCTAAGTTAAGAATGTTACTACTCTTATTTAATAAATTACTTTTATCAAAAAGTCAGGAAAAAAATACAACTAAAAGACAAAACGAACATCATCCAGAACCACAGGAAGGCTGGCTGAGTGGAAATTCTACAACTAGAAGGAAAGAGAAAAGCACACTGAGACTCAGAGGAGGTGCGGAAGTAAAGTGCAGAGGTACGGAAGCGCACATGGAAAGGGCTGGCAGCAGAGGCTTTTGCATATGAAAGGCCGGGCCCTTTGCAATCTGAAAATTACCTAACAAACTGCAACTGGGCCAGACAGACCCAGAACTTCCAAAAGAAGGCCCAAGGCCCCACAGCGGCTTGCATTGCTTCACAGCTGAGCCTCATCAGTGCACCTCCAAACTCCAAAAAAGGAAGGGGAATCTGCAGTTCTCTTTGTAGCTCCTGCTGTGTAACCTCAGGTCG